GAAACAACTAAAACATGCAGGGTGGTGTTCCTCAAGGACCAGGGTTGGGAACCCCTGCTTTATATACAGACCTGTAGTCTTCTCACTGAGTGTCTGGGTGAATAGAATAGTTCATCTATCTATAGATTGTCTTCATGACTGTGTTCCTCAAGGCATTCTGTGGGGGGTGCTGTGGGAGTATGTGGTTCCAGGGTTGCTTTTAAGGGCACTTTACGGGTCACTGAATAACCAAAACAGGAACTATGTGTATTCTTGGCAACAAACTAAGCTCGTTCCCAGTGCGGGTTGGACTCCACCAGGGTTGTCCCATGTCTCTGATCCTGTTTGCGGTGTTCATGGACAGGATTATAAGGTGCAGTCGAGGAGAGGCGGGCACCTGGTTCGGGAACCTCAAGGCCTTGTTTCGGCTTTATGCAGATGATATGGTTCTGTTGGACCATGATCTTTAGAGTGCACTGGAACAGTTTGCAGCTGAGTGTGAAGCAGCTGGGATGAGTCACCTCTTCTAAGCCTGAGGCCACGGTCCTCTTCGTGTCAGGGGGAGTCTTTGCACCATGTGGAGGAGTTCATCTGTCTAATCTGTGTCTTGTTCATGAGTGTTGGTAAAATGGAGCAGGAGATGGGTTGATGGATTGGGGTCTCGTCCTCAGTAATGAGGACATTGTGTCGATTGGTTGTGGTGAAGGAAAAGTTGAGTCAAAAGGGCCAACTCTCCATTCACTGGTTCTTCTATGTTCCAACCCTTATTTGTAGTCATGAGGTTTTGATCTTGACCAAATGAACAAGATCCTGGATACAAGCAGTCCAGACGAGCTTCCTTCGTAGGGTGGCCGGCCTCAGCCCTACAGATATAGAGTGATTCAGGAGCTTCTTTATCCAGGGGGAGCTAGGAGTAGAGGTGCTGCTCCTTTGCATTGAAAGGAGTCTGAGATGGTCCGAGAATCGCCTCCCTTTGAGGTGTTTCTGGGCACGTCCCACTGAGGGAAGACCTCAGGACAGTTCCAGAACTCGCTGGAGGTAATGTATATCTTCTCTGATCTGGAAACACCTCGGGGTCCCCCAGGAGGAGCTGGAGTGTCGCTGGGGGGAGGGATGTCTGGGTTTCTCTCTTGGATCTGTTGCCTCTGCGACTCGACCACGGATAATAATAATAATAATAATAATGTCGTCACAATGTCAGCACTGTATGTTTCCATACAATGGCGAAATTAGTCTCTGCATTTAACCCATCCACCACCAGGTGGTGCAGTGGGCAGCTATTGAAAGCGCCTGGGAGGCATTTTGGGGATGAGGTGTGCTGCCCAAAGACACCACGTGATGTGCAGTGACTGTGGATCGAACCTGGGACTTTTGGGTCCAAAGCCGGCTGCCCTGCCTCTACACCATCTCGGCCCCAAGTGGTAAAAGATGGAGATATCTGTAAATGTTAATCTAAATATTTTTAAATAAAAGAACCAATAAAACCACAATTTCCAAGAAAATATTTTAAGACAAAAACAGCTGAGATCAGTTTCATATATATAAAAAAAAAACCTAAACGTATCAAAGTGTGTAGAAGTTGCTGAATTATTTCAAAACAATAAAAAACACTATTTTTCTGTTATATACATATCAATGAATTCTCATTTATTGAGTTTAATTTTACTTTTTTTTTTGCACTCCACAGATTTGTTCAAGAGTCAGTCTGGCTTGGCTCTGTCTCCAGATATTTAAACTCCTTCAGTCTTTTCTGGGTGACTTCATAGATGAGAGCTGAAACAGACCGAAAAGATAAACTTTGTCATTTAATAATAATGTTTAACTGTCACCACTAGGTGGCGATCAAGGCGCATATTTACAATTGGGATACTAACGTTTAGAAAAATTTAATATTCAGCCCACAATATAGAAGACAGGGTCTATTAGTCAAATATACTATTTGTGGGAAATAAAATAATAAAAATAGTAAACAGGATTGCACACTAAGGTCTGTTGGTCTATTTTGTAAAATAAATAAATAAATCAAGCAGTGAATAACTGAAGTTTGTCAAAATGTTCTTACTGTCCAGCAGTTCTCTGGCTGTGTTTGTCTTCTCTAAATTGATGTGAACCTCAGCCATGAGCCACGGGAGGAAATTCACCTCGATATCTGCAACATCAGAACCACAAATGTTTTGTTGACTGATTCTATGAGCTGTAAAGTGTAGATTTGTGCAGTGATTTCCCATGTGGCAGAACGACAGACGCTGAAGAGGCTCACCTTTCTCCACGGGGTCGTAAAAGTAGCCATGGTTCCTCAGAGAGGTGAAGACCGCAGGCAGGAGGTCGGCTAAGTACTGCTGGCTGTACACCCGGGCTGCGATCTTCTCTGCTGTCTCCCTCTCTTTCTTCAGCACCTCTTTCTGCTGGGCAATCCTACGCTCCTATAGGATTTAAAAGGAACATCTAATCAAGGACTTGCAAACACTAACAGTTTTAACATCTTCAAATCAGGATCATGTGTTGTTTTGTACAGAAGTTCTTTCTTCGGCATGTAAAATCTTTTCCCATATGAACAAAGCTTATTGGTTTCTAGGAAATGCAGTGGAAAAAAAATGCACAAAATGAGCCCTTAACATACAGAAAGACAAATTGATGGCGGTGCGGCACTAATTAAAAATGGTAATAAACTGAAAAGGCTTGAGTTAAAGTCCTCGGAAAAGTGTAAGATGAAGATTTGGACATTGAAGATAAAAGCGTTCATGTAAAACCCAAGCTGATGTGCTTCATCAGCTTTGAGGTCAGTCAGACTTTGTTTCCATGGAAACGTGAGTAAACATCAGCAACTGTTGAAAACCACAGCTCTCACAGCGCACAAATATAAAAGCATTTCTTGTGAAATAGCGTTTACTAATGATAACTCTTATCGCCAGCATTCATTTTAGTACTCAACTTGAGCAGAAAATAAAACAAGAGTTCAACCTAAAAAAATAATAATAATAACAGCACCAAAGGTTTCTAGCGTCTGCGCTTAATCTTCTGGAGGCAAGATTTAAAGGGAATTTGCATACTTTCTCCTCTTTGCGCCGTCTCTCCTGCTCCTGAAGACGTTGCACCTCCGCCAGCTCGTTGTTTCTGAGCTCTTGAAAGGCCTTTTGCTGCGCCCGCAGACAGGCCAGCTCCTCTTCCTCCATCACCTCCAGCAGGGACTGCTCGATTGTCTTTCCCACCAGGACCTCCAAGATCGGCTGGACTTCAGTGTCAAAGTCAAACAACTGGAGGGAACACTCATGATAAGTATCTATGTTTATTGTTATTGTCTTACAGTGTTTTTTTTTTTTTTAATTGTTTATAAAGTATAGTGAATTCACTCACATCTCCCTCCTCTATCTGTGTTTCAGCATCTTTGCCAGATTTGGCAGGTATGAAGAGCGGAGTCGCTGGTTTATCCAGATATTCCTCAGTTTGGCATTCGATGTCTGTAGTTTCAATGACCTCACTCAGTTCTTCAAGGTAAAGATCTGAAAATAAAGTATTACAAAAGCTAACAACTTCTGTTTCCAGAAGATTGCAGGTGGTTGTTGAGAGTTTCACCTGTCTGCACATCAATGTGTTTTCTGGCCTGAAGGGATTCAGCAGTCCTGAGTCTGAGCTGCTCTATGGTCAGTCTTCGAGCGATGGGCCTTTTCCTGTTCGCCTGCTGTCTTTGTCTCTCAGCGAGGTCTGCCTGGGCTGTCTGTTCACAGTGGACAGCACAATATAAAGATAAAAGAAGAGAAAAACAGAGAAAAACTCGGATGATACACACTGTTTGTGGGAACTGCTGAGCGGCGGTGTTCCTTCGGACAACTCGAGGATCATACATGATGTTTCCATACTGCCGCTGTCTCCTGCGGGAACAAGTAGAAGTGCATTCATGCAAAGTATTTTCAGCAGCTAACTTTTCAGGCATTTTGTGCGTTTGGCACTGAAGGTTATTTGCTTGTGTAAAAATCAGCAAAGGGTTTTAAACTTTTTACATCTATGCATTATTTAATTGATTAATATAATTCACGTGACAAATGAAACTTCATTATTTCTTGCTGAAATGTGCAGCAGAGCTTAAATAAGTGCAACACATGTAAAACCACAATGCTTATATTTAATACTGACTATTTACATGCTTTAAAACTGCTTCAGTCGATGTTTATTTTGTTGCTGTTGTGATTATAAACCGGTTCGTCACACACACTAACTTCAGCAGCAGTTATCCTCTCTACCAGACCGAGACGAACGTACTGTTCGGCCGGAGGTTCTCTGTACTTGGACCGGCTCTCGACGGCTCTGGGACGGCTCGAGAAGGTGTAGGTTCCGCTCGGTTCCCTGTGTCTGTGGGACTCGAGAGCCATTTGTCCAGAAATACGTCACTTCCTAAACAATTCGAGTTAATTAAACGCTAAAACTAATAGCTAGCTCGCCCGACTTCGTTTTGAGGGCGGACTACTCGTTGTCGTGGAAACCGCTGTAACCGTCTCCAGGAAGTTAGGACAAGGACCGTTACGTCACTTCCTTTTAATGGCCCGCCATAATCAGAGAGGGTAAGCGTCTGGACTTAACATTGTTGTAGAAATTGGCAAAGCAGATAATGTAAAAATCGTAAAAATTAATAATGGTAATATTAGTATAACAATATAATAAACTATCTAATGTATATGCCACAAAGCTGTGTGTGCTACGGCTGTACCAACCGAAGAGAAAGAAGAAAATGTGTTTTATTTCACAATTAAGCAGATTGATCTTATTTACCTCAGTGCAAATGTGATCTATCTGAACACAGTTTAAAATTAAAACGAGCCTATGAAGCTGATGTCATCGCTACTAATTCTTGAATTGGTATTATAGCTTCTGTGTCAGAGCGTAGCACTATGCTGAATCATACTACAATTATTAAATAGTACTATATGGTATTGATTTCAGTTTATTTAATATTAACATTGTGCAAAATAATATTATATATTTTACAATTTTTAGGTTTCCACAAACCTGATGGATTGAGACAATGGTTAGCCAATATCAGTAGAAACAAGTTTCATCCTTCATAGGATGTGAACATTTTCTAAGTGTCGATTACAGGTTAGATAAATAATAATAAATAAATGTTATTCCAATACTGGTATGCAATATTCTCTGTATGTAATTTCTGAGTTGTTTGTGTTATTGACTGACTTCAGCTCTGGTTATCCTCATATATCATCTAGTTGTTTTACAGGACTGTTGAATGAAATTAACATTAATTCTAAATTATGTTAATTTATTGTAAAAAAATAAATAAATTTGTGACACAGCTGTTAATGAAATAGTTGCTTTGTTGGCTGAGCTTTTGCCCTCATCGGTCACCATCTTTGTTCCTCCACGATGTCACAGATGCAAGCAGTGGGCAGGCAGGAGTATGTTCTAGTTGTCTTATGACCGAACACTAATTTTACATTTTCCGTAGTACTTCATCTATTATTGCTACTTTAAATTGCTTATTTTACCGCTGCTAACCGGAGTAAAATTTTTCATGTGGCACATTTAAATCAAAACTACGTTCCTAGTAGTTTTTTTTTTATTCGTCAGCATCAAATAAAACACAAACATTTATAAAATAAAGTAAATAAATATGTTTCCATACATAAAGATACAAATATCCGGTATTAGAAAGTAAATAAAAACATTAGAAGAAACAAAAACAGTTTACAATTTACAAGTGAGATCTGTTTAGACAGACAGAAGTAGTGAAAATGGACACATGTAGGAACTGGAGGCGAAAAAAAATTCTTATCAGACTTTTTCTTCTTTTGAAAAAGTGGGGGCTTTAGACATGACAGTATCAACCCCCTTTAAAAATTAACCAGCAAGCTCACCTGTCATTGATCCTGCTATTTCTGGAATGTTTAAAATCCACCTTTTACCTACCTACTCCATCCATACAGCAGGCAAGCAAGTAGGATTTTAAATTGAAACTGTCCAAATGCAATGAGGCTGAGAAGTTCACTTAACACTTAGCCAAGTAGTGGCTCAGGGTCTCAACGCGAACGTGTATCACTTGGTGGGGTCAGCATCCCCTGGGTTCCCCAACTTGTGCAGTGACTCAGATCCAATGTTTTTGCTCATATGCAACCAATATCAGGATTTTAAGACAGTCGGAATGTGACAAATCTGTTGCTTTTTTAATTATTATTTCAAATCCGACCCTTTGTTATACACGGTATTAAATCAGATATATTTCTATGTTTTTCAAAGCGACCTCAGTCTGATTGATCATGTCACATTTCATCCAACTCTTACATCAATGAGGTAGCGGGATGCAGATCAGTCTAAATATCAATAATATTCAGAGTCAGAGTTTCTTTATTGTCATTCACACCTCATGTGGTACATGTGGTGGAGCGAAATTATGTACACAGGGTCCCAGTTACATCCAACAATAAAATGTATAAGAAAAACAGTAATAACATCTAAGATATGAACTAAGAAAAACATCAACTAAATATACACTAAGCACTCATAACATAAAACATTGGACATCAGCACAAACATGAACATGAGTCTGTGAGCAGATGTGCACGCATGAACACATCAACATTGAAACAGATCAGCAGCAACATGAAACAGATCAGCAGCAACATGATATGGTTTTTCACAGTGATTATTCTAGTTAGAGATTCATGAGTCTAACAGCCTCAGGGTAGAAGCTGTTCCTCAGTCTAGTGGTTCTACACTTAATGCTCCTTAACCTCCTTCCTGAGGGGAGTGGGGCAAAAAGTGTGTGTGCTGGGTGAGTGGGGTCCTTCATGATGCAGGTGGCCCTCTTCCTGCATCTGGAGGTGTAGATGTCTGTGATGGTGGGGAGACTGATTCCAACAGATTTCTGTGCAGCCTTCACCACTCTCTGCAAAGCTTTTCTTTCTGCAGCTGTGCAGCCTCCATGCCACACATTGATGCTCGAGCACAGGATGCTCTCCACTGCACACCTGTAGAAGGAGGTGAGGACTGAGCTTCCCAGACCAGCTCGCCTCAGCCGTCTGAGGAAGTAGAGTCTCTGATGAGCTTTCTTGATCAGGCTGGTGGTGTTGTTGCCAATCTTCATCCATCCATCCATCCATTATCTTTACTCGCTTCTTCCTTTTCGGGTCACGGGGTCACTGATGCCCATATCCAGCAGTCACTGTGTGAGAAGCGGGAGACACCCTGGACAGGTCTCCAGTCCATCACAGGGACACATAGAGACAAACGAGACAAACATCCATTCACTCTCTCACTCACACCTAGAGACAATTTAGAGTTACCAATCAGCCTAACGTGCATGTTTTTGGTCTGTGGGAGGAAATTGGAGTACCCGGAGAAAACCCATGCATGCACAGAGAGAACATGCAAACTCCACCCAGAAAGGCCCCCGGTCGGGATTTGAATCGGCGACCTTGCTGAGAGGCAATAGTTCAATGAACTGAGCCCCCATGTTGTTCAGTTTAATATTGGCACTCCTCAGGCCTTCCGCTACAGAACAGAAATCCAGTTGCTTTGTCTTTTTCTTTAAATTTGCCATGTCCTGGATGACTGAGAATCTACAGCAACACATGACATTAGTGTCTGACCGTATCGATACTGGTGTGATGGGATCAATGCTTGAGTTTATTTAATCTTCAGTGTGTCACTCCTATTCCAGAAATACAGTACTGCACTGGAGGAGCCAGCAAGAGGCAAGTTTAAATATTAGCACTGTACAAAACAAGCGCGTCAGATAATAATTTAAATGCTTCTGATTTCACAACAACTTCAGAATCACTTGCGTAGCATTTGTATTTACGTTCGTAAACACGGAGTGATCCTTGTGACGTCCCGTCTTCTTCTGTACATGCAGATCACTTCAGGGCTATAGAAAAGTCACACTTGAGTTTGAGGATATTCACATTTTAATATTATAGGAATAAACGTGAAAAAATAGATATGATCGCTTACTTGGGCATTAAGCCTTGCAGTATGAATAAAGGTGGTTCTCACGGAGATGAACTCAAATCTCATTTCATACGATTATGCAAAGATACATGAGGATACCACATTTTACTGGTTCTATATAAAAAGGATAAGTTTCATTAAAACACACACAGTCTTAATAACGGTGCTCCCCTCAGGCTCTGCATTCCTTCTGTGCCAACATCTTATCTCCAGTCCAAGTTCAGTATATGATTCACAGACTGTGAATGGTTTTCAGGATTTACAGCACCATCTCTCTCAGCAGGAACCTGGCTGTGTGGGGAGGGCCCAGGGCCATGGGTCCAACCTGGACATGTGGGCACACACTGGTGCTCCCATCCAGGCAGTGGTGTAGTCTACATTTATGTAGTGGGTATACCGCGGTGGTAGACTACCTGGGTGTTGTGTATGTGGTCATCCACTACCTCTAGTTCTTTGTTCTCATGTTTTAGGTGTCTAAATGAAACTTGTCAGTAAGTACCACCGTGAAAACACAACAGGGAACTTTTTTATAGCACATCTGCTTCAAAACCATTGTCATACTTTGCTTGTACTTAGTTTAAAAAATACACAGTAGAAGTTCTGAGTATAACCTTTTGATGCAAATGCCACTTCCTGTACATGAAGCCAAAAGGTGAAAAGTCTTTTCTGTTTCACAATAAGAAAGGTTTTTTTTTTGGTCTATTTTTTATTTTGTACATTGTAATGAATATTTATGTGGGCATTTTTGCAGGTTGGACGTGATGCTTTCTCTATTTTGCATGCTTAAGTGGGTGTACAATCTAAGAAAAAGAGTTTTCAAGCACACTTGAAAGCAGATTTGTTTTGCTCATTGCCAAAACCAAAGTGTGGGCAACACAAGGTGTTTAGTACAACCCTGAAACTCGACTCGATGCAGCGCCAAACCACAGAGAGCATTTTCAGCTCAATTAAAGAAGTCTGAAAGTGTTGGAGAAAAGTAGGGCACCAACCAGTCTACGCGTGAAGGGAAAGGTGACAGCTTTGTGAAAGTGATGACAAGGGACTCCATTATTTTACATAACAGGTAACGCCTATGCTTTATATACGAGAGCATGCTGTTATTATATAACTTTGCTTTGAAAGCAGTTTATTCTCAACACAAGCAGCTACATTTAACTGCAGCTGATGGAGGAGGTCCAGAGGGAACCATGTCATAAAAACTTGTCTTTTCGGAGAAGAATAAAGAACATCTATTTAAACGAGGGGGTTCTGTGCGTAGCGTAGCCCCAAATCATTACGCAGTATTAAAAGAATTTGGCTCGTCACTGCCAGTTCTTGTTAGTGACAGCTACAACATTACATAACCAGCCGGGCTGGCTTCTACACTTTCATCCCCATTTAGCACAGTAAGAGATTCATAATGTCAACTTTT